ATGAAGGAATCATCATCGGACAAGGAAACTGCAGAACCAACGACATTGATTGGTCGAAGATTCGCGGCTTGATCAACGATCTGCGGCTTAACTACCTCATCGTACTGTGGTACGTACTCAACAACCCTGGAGGCGTTGATCCTAGAACGGCGAGGAACCCGAAGCTTGCACTTACCAATCTCAGAAGGACCAGATGAAGAGGTAACCTCGATCGATGACGGTCTTGCCAATTGATTGAGCGGGCGGACATTCGTTCAAAACGTAAACCTGCTCGTCAGGTGGGATCACACGGGAGTCCTCAAATGCAAGAGATTTATCTCCTTGTTGCGCTCCCCCGCCTGTGGCAAAGCCTACCGGTATGTTGGTCTTGCGTACGCAATGCATCATGGTGCTGTTCAAAGCCTGCTTACCAGGAACAATAGCATTAGCTGGCTTTGGGACACGCATCATAGGCATAGAACATACACGGAACTTTTGCCTTTTCAGCGGCTGACATCTTTGCTGTCTTGGACACAGCCTTCGACCTCGGAGTGAGATTAGAAGGGGTAGTGTCCCCCTTGTTTGTATTTTGGGACTTCGGAGGAGGAGGAGGCTTGGGGTTCAAAGGACCTTTTCCTTTTGGCGCAGGAGCAGGTGGGGTGCCGCCTCTATCCTGCCCTTGATCCCCTTTCTTCTCGCCTTTCTTGTTCTTCTTCTTCTCCTTCTTAGTCTCTGCTGGCAAAGCGCTGGTAGCTGCTTCCTTGCCCGTGCCACGAACAGCCGGTTTGAGCTTAACATCTTGATCAAACTCATCACGGTTGCGTTTTTGCTGGGCAAGCTTGATGGCCAGGTCAGCCTTTGCCCAAAGCCATGCACAGGTGCGGCGGTGACTATCATGGGCGGACTCACGGGCCTTCTCAACGCGATGCTTCATTACTTGGCACTTCTCAAACTCGTCAATGAGATGATTGAAAAGCGTTCTTTCCTTGGGGAGCTCATCAAGAGGTATTGCACGGGGAATATAGTTGTACTTCTCACGGAACGCCTCTATGTCCGCTACTGATTGGCCGGCAAGTTTCAAACCTAGAAGATTGCGTTCTCCAAGGATGCCGATCCGATCACGCTCCAGTTGAAAGTGCTTGAAGATCGAACGCAACATCACGCGCCCATTGGGCATTGTACCTGCGGTGTTCCGTTCGTGCTCCACCATGTTTTGGAACAACAACCCAAACTTGCCTTTGCGACAGGTCTTCAACAGCTTGGCGGCTATCTCGCGGGTTGTGCGTGGGAAACGTGGATCTGCCCTGAGTTGTTCCTCGGATGAGGTCAGGCAATCCTGAGCCCAGAGATAGAGCTCGTCACCGGTCGTCTTTTGTAAACGTCCAATGGCCATGAGGACTTGATTCACATATCCACGCGCCTGGCCGGCGTTCTGGCGGAAGCACTAAATCCTTAAGGTCCTTTATGCGAACCACGGTTTCCTCATGTGAGGCCGGATCTGATGCGCTTGTAGCAGCATCCCCACCACTTGCATCTGCTGCTTGAGTACCTTGTCCCTGCCCCCCATTCATGGAAAGAGAGGGGCAGGCGGTATCATCATGCGGGCCAACAGACTTGGCATGAGGGAGTATTACCCTCGTCACCGGATTCTGAGGATGTGTCGGAGCTTGCCTCCGAAGGTGCGAGTGGGGAGGATGGGAATTGAGCCACTTGACTTGTACTTGCACTTGTTAGCCTAAGCGTGGGGACAGCAGGTGTGTGCTGGACAGCTACGGAAGGTGGGGGTGCCTGAGCCGATGCGATCGGGGGCGAAGCCCCTGATACCCCTACCTGGGCCTCAACTAACTTTGAAAGTTGATGGACCAGCTCAGTTAGAGAGGACATTTGTGCCTGTACGTCTACAGGTCCCCTTACATCCTGAGTCCGAGCGACGTTGTGCACGGATCACCATCCTGGATTTGCACACGCTTGGCATCTCACTTGATGTCGGGCTGTGGGGGAGCGAAGGATTTTGGGAAACCAACAGGGGCACGTGGCGCTACCTTAGGGTCGCTACTTGAACTTCCCGATGCGCCTAGAGCTGCATCCTTCGGGGGACACTGCTCACGTGTGGCACCACTCGGCCCTTGAACTTCGAAAGAGCCTGTGATCCAACCTGAAGGTCACGTCCAACGTCATTTAGCCCCGATGACCCGGGATCCGTAGGATTTTGACTTTCATGACTTTCATCCGGAGGAACCGGAACATTTTGTGCCATGGATGCGACAGCCCTTTCTAGGTCAGCAAGGCGTTGCGACAACAAAAGGTTTTCACTCCTTTGCTTTGCTGGAGGATCTTCTGTTCCCGTGAGGAAATTTCTTGAATTGCCTCCTGTCTCAACCTTGACACTTCGGCGTCAGCGGCCGACCTTGTTTGTTGTGCTTCATGCCTAGCACGCTCAACATGGCTTACGGCTTCCTGTCTTAACAGATGGACATGGCCTTCGGCTTCCTGCCTCACCTGTTGAACATGGCCTTGAGCTTCCTGTTGAGAATGCTGCGCAGCTTGTTCAGCTAATGCTGTCTGAGCACGGGCTCGTTCGACTGCTTGCTGGGCTTGGTATGTCAGTTCAGTTGCCTGTTGTCTAAACGTCTGCTCCCTTTGTTGCGCGACAGCGGCAACCTCCCCTAGCCTTTCTCTGGCCTGGTCCGCGGCTCGATGCTCGTGAAGGGCAACATTGGCAGCCTGATCAGCAATGAGCGAAGCTTGATGCGCACGTTGCACTGCCGATCCGGCCACAAACGCGGCAGCACTCATGTTATTAGATGGGTCGGGTGCTGGCACTTGAGGGCTATACACAAGGGGAGTTGCTGTAGAGTCTGAATCAGGTTCCTCTACAATGGGAGTCCTACGGGGAGGAGTCGTGTTGCGATCACGACCACGATTATCTCTTGATGAGGATGCCCATTGCGGGTACCGAAATATCACCTAGTTCAGGGTCTTCCTCATTAGATTCTTTCTCAGGGGTTGACCTTGACCTATCATCCGAAGGTGGGGAAATCCCTGATGCCATGTCGGATGCACCTTTCACACGAGGTCAGGCTCACGTCTGCTGACACACCGCGCCTTAAGCTGCGGCCTTTGGAAAACTTATGCTACAACCGGTGTTGGAAACCGGTGCACTTGCTGCGCTTGAGCTGCAGCCTCCGGCAGCGCCAGGTCAACGAAAAAGTCCTCGGCCGCCCCTTGCAGATTGCGGGCGGCGGCCAACCTCCTCGAGATACTCGTTTTGCTCGAGTACCCTGGCAGGGCGGAGAAGGCGTCGGTGCTGAGCGAGGTATTCGTGGAGCTCGTCCAGCGCGTCGTAGAGCGCCCTGTTGGCGTCTCGCCGATCGACACCTACGCCAAGGGCTCCTGCAGTGCGACACTCCTTGAGGATGGAGTTGTTGTCGTCCACGATGACGCACGCCCCGAGCTGCGCTAAAGCTGCAGCCTTGCCAGATGGTCCGACCCGTTTCCAGGTCAAGACCACGTCTCCGAACGGGAGTGTGCCCAAGCCGTCAATGGCGTTGTTGCACACCTCGGAAAACTGGGTGGCAAGTCGGAGTGTGCTTTCCCGGGTGTCCCGGGCCTGGCAATAACTGATGATGCGAAACTGGATCGGATAATGACTTCTATACAGTTTGGACACTGTACGCAAAAGCCAATCCTTGGGCGGGCTCGACGCCAATATCAAGCGTATTATGCCAGTCGAGGGCGATGACCAGCGGGTCTCGTGCCTCCTGCTGAGGCGCACTGAATGCCGTCCCGGGAGGGACGGGGCCCTTGGCAGCTGCAGTGGGCGGCAACTTGGGAGCCGGTGGGGACTTGTACCTCACCTGCGGCGCAGGTGATGGTGGCGCCCGCTTGTATGCTCTGGGCGGTGTCTCAGGCCACCTCACCCCACTAATCGATTTTGGAACCGACACTGCACGTTGAGCTGCAGCCCTTGGCACTGGTGCTGGGGGTGCTGGTGGTGCTCTCAGCGGTGGTGGGGGGATGGCCTTCGACGCAGCGCGATCCGCAGCTGCCTGGTCGAGAACGCTTTGTGGGGGCTCCTTGACCGGGTTTTCCCGCTTGGCAAAAACAATCCGTGCGGTCTTTGTTGCGGGTGCTGTGGATGAGTCGCGCCCGGCAGGTGCAGGCCGCTTGATGCTGACCTGCCCGCAGGTGCCGATAGCTCTCTTCAGTGAAATCGGCCTGCCACGCCAGGAGGGAGCTCCGATGCAAGTCCGAAGCTTCCTCCCAGGGGACTCTTGCCACCCAACCTGGAACTCACGCCGAGCCCAACGGGTGAGCTCGTCGAAGGCTTCGTAGTAAAGCTTTCGACGATATACCCACCCGCCCCTGTGTCCTCTGGCCGAGAAGGCCGGAGCCGGGTCCATGCACGAAGTGCGCTGACTACCGGACTGAGGGGGCCTAATCCCAAAAAGCAGTTACGGCTGATAACCACTCAACAGGGAAAGAAACAACGCGAACCAGAAACCGGGACCCTTATTAACCCCAGTCCGGCAGGCGAGCGCAAACCCTGGATTTGATCTTCTGGGCATCTTGAGCCAAATGGTCATTGCCATTCAGCATGTTCTTGCTATCAACGGGGCCTCCAACATCACATACATGCACACCATTCTGTCGTGATTATTCAACTATGCTATGTCATATTGTGTTCTGGTACGATATGTTGTGCAATCGGGTGTTGTTCTGTTATGTACTGTCTCGTTGGGTTGTGAATTGCATACTGCAATGGAACGCAACGTACTGTAAGGTAAGATCATGTCATGTTTGCCATGTGATGTGGTGTGATGTGATGTGATGCAATGTATCTGATCTAGGGAATGTCCAGCGCTATAATTCTGGAAGCGATACAATGACTTGATGCATAGTAGAAAACACGGGTGCAGTCCGACTGCACCATGCATTGTTGGGATGCCCTGCAATGTGTGCTTGCATGGATCTTCTCGTTGTCCTCTGCTGTCCCATTCCAAATATAAAATCTTGTGTGCCTTGCGGCCCATGAAGTAGCTCTTCTGCATCAACGATGCCAGCTTCATGGCATCCTGAAGCGGTCTGGCAAAGCGAGCAAAGCCTTTAAAGCCCAGCGGTGCCCGGTCTGGCAAACGAATGGCTCGAGCGGTGGCCGAGCCTGTGCGCCCTTGCACCAAATGGTGGCCGAGCCCTCCGAGGGCTCCACCTGCAAGCTATGGGCTCAAGTCTTAAAGGGAGGCGATGACTCGATGGGCATAGGGAGCTTTGGAGGCATAGGAGGCCCTTGGAGCTTTCTCCTTTGCGGTGACTCGCCTTTACAAAGGGCTCCTTGACGTGCTCCGCCACGTGCTTTCGGATCACCTCCTGGATGTCGATGAACCAGGACATAGGAGTGGACGCTGCGTAACTAAGCGATTTGAAGGCTCTGGGAGTGATTTTGGATGTGCAATTTGTAGGGACCCAACTCCCAAAGGTTCACTATCTCCACGCATGGGGATTTCTTCGCACGGTCCTGTGACCCGGCTGAGGATGCTCTGGAACGGCTATTCGTGCTCTCAGTGGCTCAGGTCCTTGACGTTGAAGCCTTCCTTCTGCCACACAGCCGCCTCAGATCAGCTGGCGCTTTATCATTTGCTGTTTCGGCTTCGGTCATTCTGTGCTCATGAGACTACGCATGAACAACCACACCTCACTTTCTAGCTTCCATGCCCGACACTCCGGCCTCACAGCGGATCCGCCAGTTCCTGTGCCCCAGCCTCGGCCACCAAAGACCCAAATTGGTTGAGCAAAACCCCAAACCGCAAAGGAACTCAGCAATCCAACTGGGCGTCCAACACTCTGACCCTGCCATCCAGGTCTGAACAGGCCTCCCAGACTTGCTTGCGAAGGCGAAACAAACAATGTGCAAACAGTGGCAAAGCAGTTAAACTTGTCACACGCGCCTCATACACTGGATCCTAAATCAGATGAACACCAAAACAGCGTCAAGTACAACCACACGACGAGACTCTCGAATCACCCCTGGGGCGCCAACTCCCTTGTCATGGGTGCCCGTGAACTTGCCAGTGTGATACACCACCAGTGCCTCCCCCTTGAAGTCTTCCGTCTCCAGAATGCCCTGCCGCGTGCATCCACAAGGATTCCAGAGTCTTGATAAATATAGATCATTGAATGTACACCAATGAAAGTTCGTGCACCAACCATCATTGACAAACATTGTATAAATCATGAGTGGTCGTTGCATTCAATGAAACATGGGGTGGCACTTTTAGATTGGAAACAATGACAGTTGTCAACAACCACGTGCCATGCATGGTCATATCCATGGCATCAAGCGACAAAGGCAACAAGTAAAACAAAGGAACGCTACAAGCCGCTCCTCATCCCAATTTATCAAACACGAGAGGTGCTACATGTGTACTTCTCGGCCTGATCCATGTAGAGCTCGATCTTCTTGATCTTGCCATACCTATTTGCAGTCATTGATTGTCGGTTTTCAGACATATGTTGCGCTGGGAGCCAGTCTGTCCAAAAAGATCTCCCAAGGCAAAGTGCAACGCTTCATCACCTCAACTGTCATGTCATCAGTGGTGGCCATTGAGCATTGTGAGCGATGGCCTCCTTGAAAATTTTTCGGCAACTCGCTGACAAATACGGCCGATGAAGATGTATCACCTGCTCAGTGCCATGCAACCTACACAAGACATGATCAGGGCCGGCTTGCAATGGTGAAGCTGGTCAGTTGCCTTTGCAAAACATGGTGAGGGTCTTGGAAGAGGTCACTTTTGCATTCCCTAGTGCAAACACAGTCGCACCTACCGGGCGACCCACCGAGCTGGCATCCACCAGAATGCCACCACCTGCACGCCAACCATAAGAAACAAAATAGTAAGCTAGCACAATTTGTGTGTTTTGACAACGATAATGATGGTTCCTTTCAACAAGCCCGTAGTCCGTGCCAAGCCTGTAAACATCCTGATCAAGCCGGAATGTTTGCCGCTCCTTAAACAATGTGCATGTTTCAATACAAAACCTTGCCTGGGTTGGATTGATCAACCAAAGCCATGGGATCGGTCTGAACCTGGGCATGTGCCTTTCTGGCACGCTGCCACGTGCCAAGAATGCTCCGTTTGTGTGCATGTGTGTCGGTGTTGCATTTTTGAACGAGATGTTTTGTGTGGGTTTAATTTAATTGCCAACACATGTGGTTCGCTGCGCGTGTGCCAGCAACATTGAAAACCTTCAACTTGTTGATTGTTTGTTGCTGCCAAACTGTTGAAAACAACGATGGCGTGCTGTCGTTGCTGGCATGTGTGCTATCTAAACCACTGCCACGTCCAATCAACTCGGTGTTGCATTGCAATTTCAAGCATGGAATCGAGATCAAAAATGCCCTTAAGCTGCGCGTATCACGTTTGTTTCATGACTTGAAGCAAACACGTGGCGAGATCAAATTCAATACCAACGTGAGGTTCCAATTCAATTATTTCAATGTTTGCACGCCCGTCCCAAAAAAAACTGTTGGGGACCTACGGCAAAAGGGGCCCCAACAAAAATCTCTTCCAACCAGCACACGAGGTAGCCAAGCTTCGTTGGTGAAACTTTGCATGCTGGGTTCTGCGGATTGCAAAATTGGGTGGCCCGCTTGTCCGCAAATTAACCCCGCATCAACGGCCATTGCGCACATCAGCTCGTTTCACGTGGACCACAAGTTGCCAACAACAGGCGGCCATGTTTGGGCAACCAAGTCAAGCTGCCTGGTCAGGGAGAAGCAAGGCAGTGCCCCGACTGGGCACACAGCACCTTCTTTTGCGCGGCTCAGGGCAAACACAACTTACAAATGGATTAATGTTGTATATGTTGCGGTTTGGGGTAGAACATGAAGACCCCGCAAATCAGACCACCTGAAGCACGCTCACAAAGTTCAAGTGGTAGAACCCGGAAACAAAGCTCAGGATTGCTGAGCTGGTGACCAGGTTGGGGTTGTGGCTGAAATAGAGATGATTGGATGGTGTAAACGAGAAAGTTGAGAAAGCAAAGCACTGGCAGCAATGATCACGCCCAAGAAAAACCCGTCGCAAAACCACCGCAGGTCGCCCTACGGCCGGCACCTCTTGTCGGTAGATCAAACCTTGCGCCAAAACACGATTGGCTGTGAAGTGATCTACCCCAAACCCCCCCTCGTAGTCTGCACAAAAGGAAACACACATTTTGAGAACACTAAAGATCACGGCCAAAAGTCCATTCGCACCTTATCATGAAGGTCAGGCATTCGTCATGGCGCGCCCGGAATAAAATTCCGCCACCACCGACATCAGTGAGAAAATGGAGTTCACCAATTTCCGAACTGCTAAGTAGTGTCCTTCATCTAGAAGATCAGGATGTAGTGAGTGAAGGCCAGACGTTGGCCACTAACGGGCGGAGCCAAACAACATGGAGAAGCATCACGGAAGACCAGCCTGGATCCGGGAACTTTGCCATATGCTTTTTGGCCAGGATGGTGTGTGCACAAGAGGCGAAGGCTGGATAACAGCTCCATTTTGGGGGGTCCCCGTCAAATGTACATTTTAATTTTAAGGGACCCCCAAAAAGTGTGTGATTTATGATGGACAGGAGCACATCCACAAGACAATCCGGCCTCCGAAAGGGTGTCAACAACACAGGCACCCAAACCCGCAAACTCTCTCTTTAGAGCTTATTCCCCAAACGGATTCTATTGCACCTGGGAGGTTAGAATCTTGATCACTGCTTCAATCCGAAAGGGAACATGCAGTCCAAGACAAAAGGGGGGCGACCGACAAACATGTGCGCACGCCCCTTTTTCTTTATAAGGCGTTGCTTGGAAGTTGAGGCTCAGAGGTGCAGGGGGAAAGACATCGCGTGCCCTTTCCCCGTATCTGCACCCCTCTGCGGAGCCTCCTCATATGCCCCCGTGGTCAACAATGCGTGTTCGACCAGGCGCCAGGTGTGTTACCTGTGAGGCGTGAAACAAGCGAAGGCATTGATGGCGGCCGGATGCAATGCGTGCATCCGGCTGGCGTGAATGCGTCACGCGGTGCCAGGTTGAGACAAGTCGAAACAGTCATATGGCGGCTGGATGCAATGCGTGCATCCGGCTAATGTGCAATGGGAGCCAGGCTGAGGCCTGGCAGCATCTACAGCATGCGGCGCTGGTTGTGCCCGAGCCCTAGGGCGGCAGCGGCTGCAGGGCCCTGGCGGAAATATTGCATGCTGTCGCTGGCGCGAGATGCTTCTCACGGCGCTGAACTAAATTTTGTGACCTCTGCAGGGAGGTCATGGTGTGCACCGTACCTCTGGGGCCCCAGCTGCGGCTGGGCCCAGGCAGGTTCACCTGAGTGTTGACAGGGTGGGAGGGTGGGCGCAAAAAAGGGGTAACCCTCACGCAAGTCCCTTAGGTGGCTTGAAGCAGAAAACGGCCACGCGTCCGAAGATTCGATCAAGATTAAAACATAAGGGAAAATAAAACCCTACACGTTAGAATCTTGATCACTGCTTCAATCCGAAAGGGAACATGCAGTCCAAGACAAAAGGGGGGCGACCGACAAACAGTGCGCACGCCCCTTTTTCTTTATAAGGCGTTGCTTGGAAGTTGAGGCTCAGAGGTGCAGGGGGAAAGGCATCGTGCCCTTTCCCCATATCTGCACCCCTCTGCGGAGCCTCCTCATATGCCCCCACTTCAGGGTTCCAAGCAAACGGCCTAATCTATCACCCCCTCTTCAGAGCGTTTGCGAAGCACTCCTATGCTCCGGCCGCCATGGGGCGTCGGGCGGATGCAGTGATAGCCTGCGTTTGTGGGGCCAGAAATCATGCGGGCAAAAACGACAGCGAGCTTGCGGCTTGCTGTCGAACGCGGATGTGTTACCGCGGCTGAGCTTGATCGGCCCACACGTTGTGCTCGCCTGGGATATGCGAGGCTAGCGCTGACCATTTGTGCTTATAGGCCCACGCAGCGACTAATTGCGCAAAGATCTGCAAGGCCTTGCTGCGGTGAACAGTTTGTTCACCCCGGCTTCTGATGCGGTGTTATCCGTGCTGGAAGGCATGCGTAAGCCGTGCACTGCTTGTCCTTCGGCTGTCCAAGCGATGCGCATTAGCGCCAGCTGGGCCAGGGTTTCGAAGCATGCTATGTAGCGCTGAGCCTCCTTTGTGAGGCACGGCCACTGCTGCTGGACTTCTTGGAAGTCCGACGTTTCTGCAAACCAGGAGACGGAGCGGCTGGATATAAACCAGCCACCTATGCCGACTGTGGTGCCCTCGGCACAAGCATCTGCAGCGGCCTTGCATGCCAAGACGGGCTTGCTGCGCAGCGGGCGTGCCAAATTGGCTTGAAAACATTGAAGGAGCCACTCAATGTTAGCTTCGCTTGCCGCGGGTAAGCGCGTGTGCTCGGCAGCTGGGTCGGCTACGCGCACCCATGCTGGCTTATGGCTGGGCACGATGCGCGGCAAGTCGGTGGAGCTGCGTATTGATGTTTGCTGATACTCTAAGACCCTGGAGCCAAGCTGCATAAAAATGCCGTGCACGGGCGAAGCTAGTACAGCTTTGGAGTTTAGTGCCGACAGAAATGCAGGCCACAGGCGTGCGTGCACGGATATCATGCAACCTGGCAGCGAGCGCAGATCTGCATATAACGGCGCAAGCCAAGACCTCAATTCTAGGCTTAGGCTGGTGGCCCAGATGAGCAGGCCGAGGACTTGTTCCAAAAGCTTTCTTTTGATGCGTTTGGAACGGAGCAGCGCGGACAGCTGCTCTTTCAGCTTTACGGTTTTGAGTGGGGTGAGTTCAATCGTTTCCAGGGCTGAAGTTGATTGACCATCCGCACCAAGTCAGGCAGTTTTGGAATTGCACTTTTTTCCAAGAAATGGGCGCACTAGTTGCCGCCAAGAATATGACAAAGAGTGCCAGTTGCTGATGCGCATCTGGGCGGCGCAGTGCGGCCAAGAGGTCATCCACAAACAACCAAGCTCTATGCGGGTGTGACGTGGCACACCCGGTAATGATACAAAGTGTTTGCGAAGCGAAACAGAACAAGCCATGTTCGCTAGGATGTGCCTGAATTTGCTTGCGCGCGGCTTTAAAATCAAAACTTGCGCCTATGAAAGAAGCATGCGTGTCTTCTGGCACGAAAGCGAGGCGCGCGTCGGATGCCATTGGCAGGCTGACGCGTTCTGGGATATTGCGCTTGGGGTTCACCCCGCGCACTGTGCTGTCTAGGACCAGGCGTGGTTCCTTGCCTTCGGCGTGCACCACATTGAGTTTGCCTACTGCAATCCCTTACTCCAGCGCTGTCTAGCCTGTTCTATGGATATCTCTGCGCGGACGACCCACACATTGGAGATTTCTTTATCCAAGAGCGCAGAGACCGTGTTGGGCTCTGCTTCGACGGCTTTCCAGTTGCCCATGCACTCTGTGAGTTCGTGAGGCAGGTCGGCATGCTCTTTGGGCGGCCATTGCATGCTACGGGTCAATTCGGATAGGGCTCCTGTGGGCACACCTTCGGAGAGCAATGGAAGGAGTTTGATGTCCGGGTCATCCGATGCGGAGGCCAGTGCATGCAGCAGTGACAGCCGGTACGGCTGGCCGTTGTCGGGAGCCAGGCTGGTTGGGGCGGGCAGGTTTACTGCCGCGAAAGCAATCAGCGCTGCCTCTTCGGACTCCTGGCCGATAAGGGTGGCTCAGGTGTGGGAAACCTGCAAAAGCAACGATGGCACTCGCCACGGCTTAGCCGTAGACTCCTTATCACCCAGGGTGGGTGGGCGGGCAAAAATACCCAGTCACACAAACGAAAGGGCTCCCACCCTCCAGTACCCTGAGCCAAAAGTGTGACAGGTCTTATTCAATACGAACACAAGCTCATAACCTGTTTGGGTTTGTTCCACAAACAAACACCAAATAAGGTTCTATCACTCACGAGTGAGTCGGCTCTTATTTGTCTCATCTTTAGTCATGAGCTTTGTTGAACTGTTATCACCATTTGAGCCAAACATCCGTAAGCACATCAAATATCATATGCAAAACTTAGCACATATGAATTATTCAAAAATT